GGGCCAAGATGGCCCCGAGAGGCACCCAAGACGGTCCAAGAGGGAGATGGCCCCAAGACGACCCAAGGAGCCTTCGAGGCGCCCCACGAGAGCCCCAAGAGCCTTCCCAAGAGGGCCCCGATACGCCCAAGTAGTTGATTTTCCTTGGGTTTGTTGAAAATGTATTTGGGATCTCGACTTTTCGAGCTTCCGACGCTTCAAGACGACCTAAAAGGCTCCCAAAACCACCCCAAAAGGCCTCCGAGAGGGTCCCCAGGCGGCCCAAGAGGGATCCGAGTCGGTCCCCGAGGCGCCCAAGACGGCCCAAGAGGGCCCCCCCAAAAGGCCTGAAAGGGGGAACACGATACGAAACTCCGAGCCCCCCAGGAGGCCACAAGAGGCCCCAAAGAGGCCACCAAGAGGCACCAGGAGACCCCAAGAGTCCCCCAAAAAGCTCCGAAAGGCTCCCAAACGGCCCCCAAGAGGCGGGCCCCAAGAGGCCCGAGAGCACCCCCCCGCGACATCCCAACGAACATCCCAGAGGCCTTTGACCCACAGCACTGGCGCATTGGCGGGATGGGCCAAATGCCATTCGATGAGTAAAAAGGCTTCGCAATCCAGTCCAAGCGCTTCGGGTTTCGCTATGTCTCAATCAGACCCTCGATGCCCAAACCTACCCCAGCTACAAAGAACACACTTCAAACAGGTACAGGGCGAGCGCATCATACCAAAACCAACTGGTCAACAGCGCGACCCTGAGAATGAGCGACTGCCACGCGCACGAATGTGACGACGCAGATCGCCAGCACTCTCGAGAGACCTCCGAATGCCCAGCAAGGGCACTTTCACGAACAGCGTTTCCAGAAACACGTCATCGAATGACCCTCCAGCGCGCCGTGGCCTCTAGAACAGTGGTTCCCGACTTGGAGGACACGAGCCTCCCCCCTTCCCTTCTCCTCCTGCACCTCTCCTCCTCGTCTTAGCTCCTCCTCTCCTCCTATCCTCCTTTTCCTCCTCCTCCTCCTTCTCCTCTCTCCTCTCTCCTCCTCCTCCTCCTCCTCCTCCTCCTCCTCCTCCTCCTCCTCCTCCTCCTCCTCTCCTCTCCTTCATCCTCAACCTCTTCATCATCATAACTATATTCATCATCCTTTCCTCGACCTGGTCGAGCCACAAGCTGCCACCATTTTGGATGTCGAAAAGAGAAACGCGGAGACCACGCCACGATCTGGAACCTCACGCCAGAACCTTCGCGAGGCACGCGGCAAAGATGGGCTCGATCGCGAAACAACGTCCAGAAGCCGTGTACATTGTTCTGCCACCGCTCGAGCCGCACCACCCCATCGCGAGATCACGGTCCCAACGGCTCCTACCGGCCAGCCAGCCCGCCCTTGCTTTACTTGCGCCAGCTTTCCCCCAGCCCGGCCGCCTGGCGCCCTCGCCAGGGTGCCGCGGGCCGCCTGTCATGGAGACCGTCTGCTCTCTCCCCGCCTCCCTTCCGCCCGTGGCCTCGGGCTGCTTCCCCCCCTTCGCGGTGCGGCGCAGCGGCGAGCGGCGCACGTTTCCAACTCGCCAGGGCTCCGACTCCGGAGGTCTCCGGGGGCCCTCTGGGGATCCACCGAAGCTCCCAACGAGGTCCCCTGAGGACTCCGAAGGCCCCCAATGGCCCCCCCAAGCCCCCAAACTTCGATCCTCGTCTCGGAGGCGCGCCCGGGGGGAAGGCAGAAGGGGCGGGTCTTCTCCGAACCCACAGGCCGCCGTCCGAGAAGGCCGTCCCCTCTTTCACTTCCTCGTTCGTCGCGCCGCTGGCTGTCGTCCTTGTCTTCGTTCTTCCATCTTCTTTTTCAATCCGCGGCCCCAGAGGGACCGACGGCTTCTCTCTCAAGGTAATTTTCGCTCTGGGTCCACTTTTGATGGTCCTGGGGCCCGGTGACGAGCCCCATTGCCCGAAATCCCGAAATCGAGGAAAACCCACGGTTGCTTCTCCTCTCCTCCTCTTCCTTGCCTCCCTCCGTTTTTTTTCCCTCTGCTCCCTGCCTGCTGTCTCCGCCCGGCCCCTCTTCCGCCTGCCCGCCCGCCCCGCTGGCCCTGGCCTCCCGCCTGCGCGCTCGTCGTCGCCTGCCTGCTTCCCCCCTCCTCTTCCCCTTCCGCTGGGCAGCCCAGATTGCCCGGGACCCGCGTGGCGGCGCGTCGGAGGTCTGTGTTGTTAGTCCTCCTGGATGTGCGGAGTAGATGGGGTCGGAGGATCGCGCCGCACCGCCGACACATCGGCGATGTATCGGCGACGTTGACGTGAAGCGAATCGGGCTCCACATCGAGCCGCATCGGCGATGCGTCGGCGTTGCGGCGCGATCCCCCGACCCCACCCACTCGCACCCCATCTAGCCCGTCGCCGCCCGTCGCCGGCGGGGCGGCGGCGGTGGCGACCCCCACGGGCCTCGGGCGGCCAGCGGGCCGCCGCCCTCGTCCAGCGGGCTCTGCCAGGAGCAGCCTGCGCGGCCCCGCTTGGAGAGCTCGTCCAGGCCTGGCTGCCGCGGCGGCCAGCAGCGAATGTCGAGGATCGATCCTGGCCGTCCACGCCCATCGAGGAGCGGCGGCACAGGCTCGGGCCGAGCTTCGAAATTTGAGGTTTTTGGGTCTTCTTCGCCTCTTTGGGGCCTCTGGGCGGTTTCTGGTCGCCGCGGCAGGATCCGCCTCGACATGCCGGTCAGACAGGGACCCAGGATAGGTCTGGAGGCCCTTTCGTGGGCCCCTGAAGGTGGAGGAGGAGGAGGAGGAGGACGACGACGGCGACGACAAGCAGGGCGCAAAACGACGACGACCAGGACGACCCCGCCCCACCCTGGCCGTCTCCTCGTCGCCGCCCCCTCCTTCTTCCTCTTTTCCCCGTCTCCCGTCCCACCCTGGCCGTCCCCTCCTCCCTGATCCCTCCTCCCTCTCCCTCCTCCCTCTCCCTTCTCACTCCTCCCTGTCCCTCCACCCTCTTCCCTTCCCCCTCCACCTTCGCCTCTACGCCTCCATCTCCATCTCCGTCTCCATTCTTCCACCTTCATCTCCGTCTCCGTCGCCATCTCCATCTTCATTTTCTCCTCCCCTTCTCCTCCTCACCATCTCCTCCCCTCCATTCTCCTTCCACTCCATCTCCTCCGTTTCACTCTCGCAACGCCATCGGGCGTCACCCAGAGCGTCCCGGGGCCCGCCGCGCGCCCCCCCCCCAGTGCGACGGCTACTCGGCGGCGGACCCGTTCCAGAGGGGGGGAGAGGAGGGCCACCCGCACCCCTCATCGAGGCCGCGGAGGGGGAGGAGGGGAGGTGGGTGGAGCGGCGGGGCTACTCAATCGTATATGCAATACTCACCGAAGACGTAGTACCTCGCCGGTAGCTTAGTCAGCGGAATGCCTTGTCGGTAATGTACACGGTTTCTATGATGGTCCCTACAGAACTAAATTGATAGACTCAGTAACTTGTATGTGTGTGTAAGATGTACAAATAGATCCTCGTCCGTACCGCTGTATTTGTTGATCATATACCCCGGCTTCAGGCAGGCCGGTTCTGTCGTGACTTTCTGGAATTGCTGCTTGACAGGTCGTGCTACTCAGCCTTCCATCTGTCTTCGTTGGAGTGAATGTTTTACATCTCTCTACTCCCCTGGTGCTCCAAGTCGTCCTCGTCATCGCACCCGTCTTCCTCCTGTCGTCGTAGAAGCTCTGCGGCGAGGATAAGCATGGGTCGCTGGCCCATAGGTATCCGGTTGTGGTGCGCCTCGTAGTGGTCGCGGGCGGACAAGCGTGCTTTGATGGCTCCTGACGGGCCCAGCGCGCGGACCATCGCGCCCCCGTCCTCGTAGTGGCGGCCAACGCCAAGCTTATGGGCACCATCATGTCGTGGGACTTGTTTTACGCGGGCTCGTGAGTTTGGATATGGCCCTGATGACGGAGGCCTCTGTGATTGCCTGCCCCTCGGCTAGCATGGCCCTGAGGAAGTCCAGCCCCTGGAGCGCGGCGTACGTGATGAAAATGGGCTCGTCCTGCTCGTCGTTCTCCTCATCCTCCTCTCGTGGCCATCGTAGCTCAGCTGGTGGCTCTCGGAGTCCTGCACGCGGCCCTCGTAGCTCGACTTGTTTCCCCGGTAGTGCGGCTGGTGGTCCTCGTAGCTGTTTCGGGAGCTCCAGAGGCTCCGCTCGTGGACCTTGTAGTTCAGCTGGTGGCGCTGGTAGCTCTGCTGGAGGCCCTTGCTGCTCAGCTCGTGTCCCACGTAACTCAGCTTGTGTCCTTTGTAGCCTTACTCGTGGCCTTCGCAATCCAACTGGTGGTCCTCGTGGCCCGGCGTGTTGTCCTCGTAGCTCGGCTCGCCGACCTCGAAACTCAGCTTGTGGCTCTCGCAGCCCTGCAGGTGGCTCTGGAAGCGCAGCTGGTGGCAGTAGTCGCCCCGCTGGTGGCTCCCGTAGCTCTGCCTGTGGCCTACGTTGCTCAGCTTATGGTCCTCGTAACTGAACTCGTGGCTCTCGTAGCTCTGCGCGCGGCCGTCGTGCTCAGCTGGTGGCTCTAGGAGTCCCGATCTCGGCCCTCGTGCTAGGCTTGTTGCCCATGTAGTTCAGCTGGTGGTCCTCGCAGCTGTGTCGGGGACTCTCGAGGCTCTGCTCGTGAACCTTGTAGTTCAGCTGGTGGCGCTGGTAGTTCAGCTGGGGGCCTTCGTTGCTCTGGGCGTGTTCTACGTAGCTCAACTTGTGGTCTCCGTAGCTCCGCTGGTGGCCTTCGTAGTTCAGCTGGTGTCCTTGGTAGCCCAGCTTGCGGATCTCGAAGCTCAGCTGGTAGTCCTTCTGGTGGCTTTGGTAGTTGCGCAGGTTCTGTTGGTAGCTTAGCGGGTGGTTCTCGTACCTCTGCAGGTGGTCCCCGTAGCACAGCTGGTGGTCCCCGTAGCTCAACAAGTGGTCCTCGTAGCTCAGCTGGCGGTTCTCGTGGCAACGCAGGTGGCCCTGGTAGCCCAGCTGGTGGCACTCGTAACTCTGCGCGCGGCCCTGGTAGTACAGCTTGTGGCCCCCGTAGCTCAGCTGGTGGCTCTTGAAGCTCAGGTAGTGGCCCTCGAAGCACTGCGCGTTGCCTAGGATGTTCGGCAAGGAATCCTTGTAGCTCAGCTGGTGGCCCCTGCAGCTCTGTAGTGGTCGTCTGGGTCTTCCTGGCCTCCTGGGCCTTCCCAGGCCTACTCTGCCTTGTTGGCCTCCTGGGCATTCCTCGACTTGTACCAGTGGTCCCCAGTGGCGTAGTTGTACAAGGATTTCTGGTAGAAATCGTCATCGTGGTGGTCGTCCTAGGAGTACAGGTCGCTATCGAAAAAACTGTCGTAGACGAACTCGTCGTGGGCGGCGCGGCCGTAGTCGTTAATCGTCGTCGGCGGCGCGGCTGTTGTCTGCTGGCCCCCCCGCGACGACGTACATATTGACCTCTATGGGCTGCTCGGTGGTGCCGTCCCTGGTGTCGGTCTTGGTGGTGTAAGGGTAGTGGTGCTCGTGCTTGGGCTGCCTGTTGCCAACTTGTTCTCGTACTTGGGGCTGTTTGTTCCGCAAGTCGTTCTCGCACTTGGGCTTCATGTTGCGGAGTTCGTGCTCGGACGCTCTCGCGAAGGCGGTCGTGGCAATGAACATGATGTCGTCGGGTCGAGGCGGTATTCCATGCTGGACGTTGTGTCCCATTCGTTTTTGGGCCGCGTCTGTTCGCATCCTTGTTCTTTTTTGCGTGTATGGTCTTGGCATCCTTGTCGGTGCGTCCCCACGAAAGTGGGAAAGTCTACGTCAGTCTCACAGCCTTGTAGTTCGACAGTTTGTAGTTGACGTTGTAGTCGCGGCAAGCCTTGGCTTGTCGTGGCCTTGGCGTATTTCACGCCGATCTTGATGATGTGCGCGTGAATCTTGGTGTATATCACGTTGATATTGGTCATGGTCACTATCGTCATGTATTTCAGGTGGATGGCAAAATAATGGGTGGCGAATGCATCACACGGCGCGCCGTCCGCCGCTTGGCCGACAGCGCGTGCTCGGGCTGGACCCCATCTCCCGCGGGTGGTGGCCCCCTCTCTCCCGCAAGGGCCAGAACCGCCCTGCCTCCTCCTCCTCCTCCTCCGCATCCGCTTCCTCCTCCTCCGCATCCGCTTCCTCCTCCTCCTCCGCTTTCTCCTCCTCCTCCTCCTCCTCCTCCACCCACTCCATTCGTTTTCTTTACAAGTCCGCCGACCCTTCGGCGCGTGTGAGACGCTGCCGTCGTGTTCGTCGTCGTTGTCGTTGTCGTTGTCGTTGTCGTCGTCGTGGTCGTCGTCGTCGTCGTCGGCGTCGTCGTCGTCGTCGTCGCCGCCACTCCCAAGAAAATAGAACATTGAGGAACGAACAGGGCAACAAACGATCGTACTTAAGTCGATTCCCTTCGCCTTTTCCTTTCCCGGGGTGTGTGTGTGTGTAATTACGGGGAGGGGCAAGGGAGGGGGCGTCACCAGGTGAGATTGCCGCTCCCCAAGGGTCCCAGGGGGTTGTTTAACCTGTGGACAGGGGGGACAAGGAAGGGTCCCCCCTGCAGGAGGGGGCTCGCCCTGGGCCCGGCCCCGACCCTGTCCCCGACCCCGGCCCTGATCCCAACCCTGCCCGCGGCCCCGGGACCAGCTGGGCTCCCAGGAGGGGGCCCCGAAGGAGAAAGTCCAGCTTTCAGGGTCGGCGGCGCCGACCGTAAGGCCTTCAGAGTAACTCCTCCCTGTCGCGCCCCGAAGCCTGTCGGAAGGGCGGGCTGGGCGTTTCGCTTGAGACTTCCTTGCTACTTGTGACCCTGAAGCTTAACAATTGGGAACAGTTTCGCAAATGGAGGGCGGATGGTGCTCAAAATGTGATTGTCGCCTTAGCGCCGCGCGCACTCGTCTTAAACAATGGGAGAAGTTTCATGTATTTGGGGCAATCCTTTTCAAAATGTGGCTCTCGCCTTAGCGCCGCGCGCACTCGTCTGAAACATTTGCAGAAGTTTCACGGATTGAGGACTGTCCTTCTCAACATGCGGCTTTCGCCTTAGCGCCGCGCGCACTCGTCTTAAGCATTTGCAGGAGTTCACGGATTCCCATGGCCAATGTACCAAAAACTATGCTTTGGAACCACTCTGTTCAAATTGAAGTCGTCATCTCCACTGCTCGCGCAAACATCCCACCCACCCACCCGCAACTTGGTTTGCAAAACCTCTTAAGACCGACTACGACGACACCGACGACAACGACTACGACGGCACCGACGACGTCTCCGACGACTTCGACGACGACAACGACGACAACGACGAGGGAGGAGGGAGGACGGCGACGACGCGAACGACGAAGAAGGAGGAAGGACAGCGACGCCGACGACGACAACGACGAGGGAGGAGGGAAGACGACGACGACGACGACGACGACGACGACGGCGACGAAATAGGAGGGACGACGACGAGACGCCGACGACGGACGACGACGACGACGGAGGAGGAAGGACGACCACGGCGACAACGACGACGGAAACGACCACGA